GAGAGAGAGAGAGAGAGAGAGAGAGAGAGAGAGAGAGAGAGAGAGAGTTTATGATAATTTTAAAAATATTTTTGTAATTACTTTACAAAAGTGTTAATTGTTGTAATATTAATTAAATATTAATTAATTTTTAATTTAATTGAGTGTACGCTATTGTAACTTAATGTACTTAACTAACTTAATGTATGAAATTGCACACAATATAACATGTGCAATAAACATAAAATTTTATATCACATTTAGTAATAATCCAATAGAATTTTTTAAAATGTTTATTACCTATATCATTTTATTGTCATTTAAGGTATACCCTTATAACACTTGGGGACAATTTCTATAACAATGAGAGTCTAACATTCCAACTACCAAGGTCCTACAATTAAAATATATATAACACGAGACACTTAATTTACACATATTTTAATATAAAGGCTTATAAAGTTCATAGTTTTATTATTTGATTTAACAATTTGATAAAACTATTATATTTTTACTATAAAAATATCACATAATATGTGAAACACAAATATAATGTGTTTAGATAATCACAATATTTTATGTGAATAATTATAAAATGATATTTACAAATAACAAAAAGTGTCCTGATCAAAATTAAATTTACTATGAACGTTGAAGGTTTGATAACCATACCATCCCGGTGGGATAAGATTAACTTTATTTCTAAACTAACATTCAGGTAAGTTAGTTCATGTAATTTATAACCATTAATGTACAGTAATTTAGTTGTTATATTGTAATGTATTTATTATATGAATTAGTTGGGTGTGGAGTCTATTTATTCGGGCGCACAAAAAGGACCTCGAGTTCAGTGATCTCTACCGCTGCCCAAAATCAGATGAGACACATCGGGTCCGACATAAACTAGAAATGTAACATAAAAATTATATTTTGTATTTATTAGTAAATTTATAAAAACTCACTTTTGTATGTATTTGTATAGCAAATGGGATAAACAATTGAAAAGTAAAAGAAAACCATCATTATTTTGGGCACTATTTGCATCGTATGGACCCGAACTTATTGTTCTCTATATCCCCGATTCAATCAGGGTATATCACGTTTATTTATCATAATGATTATGAAATATACTAAATAAACATGATGTGTAGTCATAACACACTGTACTTAAAATTAATTAGAAAACCAACTGCCGATACAGTAACTGTAAACAGTAAAAATAGAAAATAATGTAAATTCTTGTATTAAATGTTTACCATCTGTTTTATTTATACAGGAATTAGTGTTTTATATGATTCAGCCGTATTGTATCGCTTATTTGGTGAGATATTTCAACAAAGACCCCAACACTAGCCAATGGTGGGCCTCGTGGGCGGCCGCCGGTATTGTCATATCGGCCATTATGGCCATGCTTATCGCCCATATGGCTAATACATATTTCAGCAAGGTGGGGGCGAGGATTAGGGTCGCTTGTTGTGCCCTTATCTATCGCAAGGTAGGTACACAATAAAGTTAAAAATTAATGTTAACTAATTATTTTATTATTTACAATAAAGTCCATGCGTTTAAGTCATACATCACTCGGACAGACAACTGTTGGCCAGATATTGAACATAATGTCCAACGATGTCAACAGATTTGATGAGGTATTTCATATTGAAATATAAATTATTTACTGTTAAATTAATTAATTGCAAAATGTTTTTTATAGTTTACGTTTTTCTCGCGGTCTCTGATTACGGCACCCCTACAGGCGGTGATTGTGATATACCTGTTGTGGCCACTGCTTCGTTGGGCGTGTTTTGCCGGTATAATAGTATTGGTGTTGTTTATACCATTTCAGGTACTAATGGGCCGTAGGTTTCGGAGTATACGTCAAAAGACGGCCAAAATAACTGACAGTCGAATCCGTTTAATGCAAGAGATTATCGCCGGAATGCGTGTCATAAAGATGTACGCCTGGGAACAGCCCTTCGCACAGTTGGTCGCAACCGCTCGCAAGTAATGCCACAAATGATATAATATTAATTTATATAACGTTTGTAAATATTAAACACTAAAACTTAAATATTAGGTCTGAAGTAAAACAAATCCGATCGTCTAATTTATTAAAAGGCCTAAATCAATCGATTTATTTTGTGATAATACGGGTTATAATATACGCCTGTATTCTAACATATATACTGATGGGTGGGATGTTGTCGGCGGAGACAGCCTTTGCCACAATTGCCTATTTTAATGCCATGCGTTGGTCAATAGGCTATAGGGTACCCCTGACTATTGCCGCTTTAAATGAGCTAATTATAGTCATCAAACGCATCCAGGTAGTTGGGATTATTTATGCAATGTAGTGAATATAAATTTTAAGTTATTTTAAATATACAAATATTTATTTTATAGAATTTTCTATTACTCGAAGAGATGAGTGGTTTGGATGAGAGGGAAGGGAAAGACAACGAGGCGTTCATTTCGGGGGAAAATGAGATAATTCTCGGAGTAATGGAAAACACTTCGAGTAATGAAGAAAAA